ACCCGAATGCAGACACGTGTCAGGTGCAGGGTGACATGCCTGCAAGATCGGAAAGGGATGGATTCGCCGCAGAGGTTGGGGGCAGGCATGGAAAGCATCTTTGAAGGGGGAAGTGAAGTAATGCGGGAACGTCCAGAGGATGGCCTGCGGGTGGGAGCCATGGATTCAGAGTGGATGGGAGAGTGGACGGGGAAGAGTCGGGAGACGAGGAAGCAGGAAGGTTGTAGAAAAAACATAGGGCAGGCTCTTCTCCATGGAGCAGAGTTGGAGGGAGCGTGTGATCCTTGGATGCAGAAGTCTCTGCGTAACTAGTCTGTGAGTGCAAGCATCATGCAGCGTGTGGCACTGAGATTTCGACAAGCCTAGGATTGAGGTAGCGGCAATTCCGCAATTTTTTTTTTTTTTTTGTTTTTGAGGTTTCCTGCTTTACGTTTTTCTTCTCTTGCTTTGCGTTCAAACCTGTTTTCAGCAGCTTGCAGGCAATCAAAAAAAATGCCGGGAGAGTAGCTTTCGAGTCGAGCATCTTGCAGTACTTGCAGCAGCGCTGGTCCGCTTCCTCCAACTATCTCCGACCTGTCAGGATCGGCTTGCCCTTGCCATCATTGAGGTGCGCAACTTTTCAAAATTCAAAAAGGCTCTCTTTCTCTCTCTCCTACTGCCCTGCAGGATGCTGAGCAGCGAGGAGAACTAAAGCCGCGCCCCATGTTGTCTCCAAGTCCAAGGGGCTCCAAGTGAAATGTGCGTTGCTGTGTGCAGGCCTGGAGGGACGGTTGTGGAGGCGCAGTACACATGCCTTGCGGGGTGTGAGCCAAGCGTCGTCAGTAAGCCAGCGAGGCAACCAGCGGCAACACCGGCATTGCCCTAGCAATGGCGCCATGGCAGCGAATAGATACACATGGCTGGATGTTCACATGTGCCATTTCTGACATACTCCAAGGAATGCAGCCAGGTTGTCGCAGATGGTGGTGCATTCATTATACTATACTTGTCTGAAGCATTGGTTTTGATTGAATTTCCACGCCAACAGGGGGTTGTTCTTTGGCAGCGACCCCGCCCATCATCTTGAGGTTAGCAGACCAGCCTGGCAGGTCATCAGCCTGCGACTGCTTGATTATCACCTCAACAGTCAGTTGGAGGGCACAATGCAGTTTTTGCAACCCGACTCTGTAGTTCGACCAGTGGTTAGGTTTGTCATGCCCTTGGGTCAAGCACTGCACTGCTCCCAAGCCGTCCTTCTCACCACCCGTTCCTGACGTGAGGTTTGTGCCCAGCGAGGGTACAAGTTTGTGTCCACTATGGCGGCATCCTTCTCAGTGGAGCGGCGGAAGGTCCCGGGAATTTCTGCCTTGCTTGACAGTTGAATGAATGGAAGTCCAACAAAAGGAAAAGGCAGCAATCTCCCTGCACTGCAGAGTGTTACGCATTGCACGCTAAATGGCCGCATATTTGCGAAACGAAGCTCTCAATGCTTGGCGGGCTGGGAAGCACGGAGGCAGGTGCTGAAAGCTGCCCAGGGCAGTGTGTCGCCAAAGTGCCAGAAAGATTCGGTGTTAATTGTCTAGAGGCTTTGGGTGGCGTCAGCGTTGACCAGCTTTGGCAAGCTTTGTCAGTTCTGCCTGGTAGCCAACACAAGAGGACTGATTGAATGACTTTTGCCAAATTGGCAGGTGATGCGCATGTTGGGTGCCAAGGTTGTCGTCGGTCGCCTAGCAGTGCCTGACAGGGAGCATTGTGGGACAGGGTTGCCGTTTCGCGAGTCAACTGCCGAAAAGATGGAGGTGACCCCGGCACCACTGGGCGGCACGGGCATGGTTCTCAAGGCTGAGGCACATCTTTCACTGTAGCCGACACTGATTAGTCTTGGAGTCAATTGGCAAAAGAAGTGCAAGTTTGACAATACTTGGGTTGTTCTGCAGGAGCTGGCCGAGAAACACGGCTGGTATTTGGCGCGCCAGTTTGAGAATGAGGCCACCGCGCCCTTCGATCTGTCTCAGTCGGAGATCAACTGTAGAAGCAGTGCTGATGCATGGCAGGCCAATCCTGCCTACCACGTTCGCGCCTTAACTTAATCGAGGCTTTCTGCCACACAGGCCTCGAGTACAGAGCAGTATGCAATGGGGCTGTGAGAGACGGTTTAGGGCAGTGCTTTGGCATACTGAGAGGCTGATGCTTGCGGGGTTCTTTGAGAGGGCCCAGGAGAGGGCAACATGCCTTGCAGCTCCAAGCGCAAGTGCGAGAGCAGATTTTGATTAAAGCAGGCACGCACTCACAATGTTATATGAGTTCGGACTCATTCTGTTTGCACTTAACCTCGGAAAAGCTTGCAATCAATCTGAGGCAAAAACCACAGGGCCCGAGATCCTTGCGCAGCGTTCTCAGGTCTCCTGAGTGCAGTATGCAGATGAGCCGGAAAAGTAGCCTGGCCCTTGCGTTGGCGGCTTCAATTAAAGGCTTCCGTCCTGAGTCAGTACCCAGAATTGTCAGTTTCAGACTGCTGGCAGGGACTTCGAGGGCAAGAGCTTAGACTATTGGGTGGCGCCCTCAGTGTTTAGCTGGCAACAGGATTCCCTATGAAGGGTGACATTTTCAGTTTAGTCTTCTCAAGTATTAGAGAAGGCTCTAGCTCATCTGATAGACATGTTACGTTCGAGGTCACAGGCTACGGCACCGGCGGCACTTTCCAAGGAGCCGGAAAGGTGCTGAAGGAGGCCTCGCAGCCCAGAGAGCACCGTTTGCTAGGAACAGATTGAACGAATTGCTTCAAGTTACAATGTGTAGCTGGGTAGCCCTTCCCAAGCTGACGTCATGTGCTGAGGCCCGGCCCGGCATCAAAATCATCCTTTCCGAGCCGAAGGCCTGCTGTGCTTTAAGCTGAATCTCTAGTCATAGCGGAGATCCTCATCACCAGAGCCACCAAACATGGATCATCACAATTTTTGACAATTCCTACGACTGGAAATCAGGGTGCTGCTTTGATCACCAGCGGCATCAAGCAGGACAGCTCTGCTTCAGTCTTCGCTGCAGGTGTTTCAAGAGATTTGGTGTAAATGTAACTTAAACCAAGGGTAGTAGAGATGAGGCCACGGGGATGCTGCTGGAAATCTTCCAAGAAGTCAGTAGAAGTTGGCTGGTGCACCTATGCAGCCTCCCAGGTGCAGAAACGGGTCAGGGAAACCTAGATGGGATGGTTTTGCTTGCGAGCTTTCAGGAGAGGAAGGAAGTTTTGGGAAAGTTTGGCCATCTTCTCAGAGAGTCCGGCTTGGTGGCAGGGACTAATTCGATTGGGCAATATGGGGACTGCAGTAGTGCCTGGCAGCCTGGGGCCCTTGCTTTGCTGCATTTCCTTTGTTTTTTTCAAAGACCTCAGGTGCACCAGCGAAGGGGCACCCAGCCTGTGACTCAGAAGATTCAGTTGGTCTCCTGTCCAGAGCTGCAGAGCACTGAGGCGTGGAACCCTCATCCAATCCAGGGTGTGGCCCCAAGCAACCTGGAACATCTAAACAAGCTAGCTTTCTCTTGAAGTGCTGTAGCTCATACATTAGCAGTGGCACACTTGTTCCGATGTTCACAATTCTTTATGATCTACTGTTCTGCACGTGGGTGAAGTCACAGGATGGACACCGAACTTCATCCCCAAAGTCACAGAGGCTTCTCGGGGCAGGTATGGGCAGGTGAAAGTAACGTTGGACGTTGAAAAGGGATTTTCCATGTTTTTACTCTTTTTTGGGAGTCTTCTTGTGTTTGGTGGCTGCGTTCTGGCTTCTTGCGTTGTTGGCGGCTTGGCTTTTTGGCTTCCTAGCTTTGGGCTTCTTGGCTTCTTGGCATTTTGGGTACCGTTTCTGTCATCATTACTATTGTAAAGATTCTTTCTAGTATAAGTAATATTATGACTACAACTGTTTTTGCCATTATTTCCCACATTCAGTGTGGGGTTCTAATTGTTTGATGTGCCGTCGCCCGCACCCCGACCGCGTGCTCTTCCGTCGCGCAAACATTTGGGACGGGCTCATGTTCCTTCAAGAATCGCGCTCTCGCTCGAGACATCCTCAAAAAATCGACGTTTTTCATCGATCATCGATCAACAAAAATACAAGCCCTCGCCTTTAAAGTGCTCTTGCTAGGGGGGTCAAATACCGAACTGAACTGGTCGCGCTCCCGATTTTGAAAATCGCGCTCTCACTTCAGCCATCCTCAAAATTTCGCGTTTTTCGGACTTTATAAATTATCAAAAATTGCGCTCCCGCGAGAGAATTCGATTTTTTTTACGTGTGGATGATTTTCGTATTGTTGAAAATCGCGCTCCCGCTGGACATCCTCGAAATTTCATCGATCTATGATAGATCATCTATCTTTATCAAAATCGATCAAAATTGTGCTCCCGTGCGGAGCATTCGGAACAAATGCTCAGTCATGAACGATGATTTCAATGGTTTCTATACCAATCCTATACCAAACAAACGTCGGTCGAGATGACTCTCTTGGCTCAAGGGGGGGTATTCGGCGGAGCTTTCCGGTATAGGATTGGTAGGATTCGTCGGCATCGTCGATGTTTTGATGATCTTCGTATCTTAAAGATGGCGCTCCCGCTCGAGAGATCCTCGAAATTTCGTATCATTATCCAAATTGATCCAAATTGCGCTCCCGTGCGGAGCATTCGGAAAATTTTGAGGATGCCTCGACCAATGATCTTGCGGGTTTCTATACCAATCCTCTACCAAGCGAACGTCGCTCGAGGTGGCTTTCTTGGCAGAAGAGAGAGGTATTGGCGGAGCTTGCTGTATAGGATTGGTATAGGATTCGTCGGCATCGTCGTTCAACATTTAATCATTTACGGGATGGATCCTATACCAATTCTATACCAAAATCCTCCGCTCAAGGTTATCTTGTTTTGAAAATCACGTTCCCTTGCGGAGCATCCTGAACATTTTCTGGGAAATCGCGCTCTCATGCGGAGCGTCCTGAAAAGTTTGATGAACATCGTGGTCCTGCATAAATACTGAAAAAGTAACTGAGGTCTTCCAAGTAGATACACACCAAGGCACACCTAAGTGTTCCCAAGCTGCATCAACACAGGTCGTTTATGCCACAGGCGCAATCAAGTCTTGAGCCAACATAAGTTAGCATGTCAGGACTGACATAAG